AGGTTACCTTTATTGACATTTCCGTTTCCTGTTTTCAAAATAGATGCTATATAACGTTACAACTCCAGTGTACATCGGTAATGGCACACTAGCTTCAGTTTCAGGATTGACCCACTAATCGTAATGTTCGTACTTCTTTGGACCTTTGTACTTCAGCAAGGCCTCGTCGACGTCATCTCGACAGATCTAGGAAGTTTCTTGCTTTGTGACGTGTTCTCGTAAGCACGGATGAAGCTGTCACGATTTCCCCAATTGTGGAAACAGATGTGCATGTTTTTCGAGGGGGACTTTGTCTTTACTTCGAGCACTTTCTATTAAATTAATCATGCACACTTTCATTTCAATCGGGAAGGCTTGCGTCTTTCGTTTTCCACTGGTCATGTTGTCAAGGAGAAATGCAATGGCGACTGAAGATAAGATTATCTTTTTAGTTTCTGGGGATTATCCCTCCCTCACCCTCCTCCAGTCGCACCCACATGACTCTCAAGGAATGTCGATTCTAGGAAAGATAAAGTTATGGCTTGCCAACGCTCATTTTTCCTATGATGGGAATTCCAGTTAAGAATGACGGATTAGGGACATCAATGTTGTCAATTTCGTCAGTGGGGCCTTGAATGGACTTCGTTATAACCGAGGTTCTCGCTATACCCGAGTTCGCTATAACCGAGGTAAAATGTAACGTGCCTTATGGGCTCTACGCCGGGACCTGGTGCTTTCCGTCGTTATAAAACGTATATATAAAACGTGCCAAATTTAGTAAGAACCACTGGGTGCATTGGTTCGTGGTGAAAATCGCTTTGGAATGATCTCGCATCGTTGTTGCATCTCGTTTTGCGATCGATCTTGCCGTTTTTGAGATACAGATATGAAGTACCGACTAGTACTTGATGGGTGTACTTGGTACAACACTTAATGGAAGAGTTCCAAGACCGTAATTCATTGATATATTGTTTATTAAGGATAGAGCTTACCCCTAATACCGGACCTCATTGCGTTCTCCCTATCTCGAGGTGTTCTCTCCTTAGAAGCTCCTCTTTTATGTTTCAGTGACTCCCAAAGAATGCCTCTCCATGGAGAGACCTCAGAGAAAAATTCAAAAGAGAGGCTAAGAAGGGAACAAGTTGGGTAAGCCCAGTCCAGTAGTGGGCCTCCTTTCAGTTAAGGAAACCCTCATTTTTGTCACCTAATTGAACAAAATTCCATCTCTTACCGATTTTCGAGCATCAGAAACCTTATTCCTCATTTATATCAATATTTGGTAAACATAGACAAACGGTGCCCATGAAACGATGATAGGAAGATGGAGGGCTGTGCGAGGTTGGATTCATCCGCCACGAAGGTTGATAGGGAACTAACAGCTCTGGATGCTGACACGGCGCCGCGCCCAAAGCCTGGGTCGTACGCACATGCGCATTGTGGTCCAGAACCTGAAAGGCTCACGGGTACTCAAATTTCCAATCCAAAATTTGCAATAAAAATGCCAATTTTGGTGCAAATTCGCCACAAAACAATCTCAGCCTGTAACTTGTTCATATCAACCCGCTTTCCAATTTTTGCATAGATCAGGCCAATAATTTTTTAGTTATCGTCTGACAATCAAAGTGTGGAACATAAGTGGTCTCTTTCCTTTCAAGAAAGGAGGCCCACTAAAAAGGCGATGGATTGGGTCGTCCACAAGACGTATATGCATCAGTGTGGCCTCTGATGAGCACTGTATTACTACTATCGTCCCATACGAAGCCTCGACCATCGGGGAATAAGGACGAAGAAGCGGGACCATCCCCCGGTCCTGACGCTCAAGTGTAGGTGTCTCTTGTGAGTGAGTCTCCACAGGAGTCTTAGGAGCACTTAGGAGCCTGGGGTAATATTTAGGCCTGTTCAATCTCGGAAGATGAGGTGTCCATCCCTCAATCTCGCAGATGCAGAATTGATCAAGATCGTAAAATCTCAGCCATGTGAACAAGAGTAGGAAGAGGAGCGAATGTTTGCTTTGAGCATTATACCGACTCAAAAACGATTGCCACCAATCGCAAAAAGCATCGCAAAAATGAAAAATTTGCTAGTAATTCATTAGTTAGAATTTGACAATGGCAAATAACGAGGAATTTATATCCAGTACGAACCATACCAAGTTCATCCCTCCCTTTGTCCTCAACCTCTCCATTTTGGAACATTGTCTTATCTCCTTCCGGCTCGGAAGAATTGATGAGTAGAATGTATCCCTGTTCCGGCAATAGGCTCTCAAATATGCAATAGAGACCAATGAACATTCAAGATTCCTTGTAAGTCAATAAAACAGCAGTTCTGCACTCTATTTCATTTATATATCCCTTTAGAAATGTTACATTGTTCACAGGCAATCGGGAAACCAGAGGATATTCTGAATTGCGTTAAGGCAACGACATAGAAATCCTGGATATTAATTGTCTAAACCTGAAGCTTTGGCTTTCACAATTGATTTGCTCTGCCGATACACTTCACCCTGAAGTGAAGAAAAGTAATCAGCGAGGTCTTCCCCGATATGAATCGCATTCCTGGAAACATTTCCACGGGCAAATTTGATGTCAGCTAAACCTTCAGTGGATCGCTCTGTCGTCATTCCTTCCACAGAGCATCCTTGAGCATCCTCTGCTTTCACTAAGTGCCTTGTAATATAATGACGCTGGCTTGGAGGGGTCCTGCTTTCATGGAATTGAATGAAGTTACGGAGGCAGGCTTTCATCACAAAATTTACATTCTGAAAATTCATTGCAATTGGATTTACGAACATTCTCCACTTGCCAGCAAGTATGCCAAATGCTTTCTCTATCACTCGTCGTGCCCGGGATAAAGGATAGTCGAAGATGGCCTTCCTGGTGTCGAAAAACTTTCCAGGAAAAGGTCTCATGAGAAAGGGTATCAGAGGAAATGCCTCGTTCCCGACAAGGAAAGCACGGAGAGGCTCTCCATCTTTTCTCAAGGATTTCGCATCAGGAAACTTGAACCACCCATTTTCGAGTGATCTTCAGAAGGCAGAATTTGCTAGAGTGCCGCCATCACTCTGTTATCTAGATCCCCCGATATCAATCAAGATGAATTTGTAATTAGCATCACACAGCCAGCAAAATGATCCTATAGGGATTCTCGTAATTATGATCCACTCCTTTTTGGACTTTTTGGCCTGGACGAGAACATGTTTCCCGTATACGACTCCCACACAATTTGGAAAGCTCCACGGTCTTCGAATTCCTCCATATTTCATGATCTGGCACTCTTAGATAAAGAGTAGACAGGGTGGCCTATATTGTTCGAGTCGTTTGTTGATTTTTGATGATTCACGAATACCTATCATGATAGGTATTTTATACCTATCATAACAGGCCTCACGATGGATACCTATAATTTGTTCTTGCATATGGAACTGAGCAAATAATAGACCTATCGCCTGATACCTATCATGATAGCTACCATGTAATAGGTTATCAAGTGATAGGTTCTGGCATACGGGCCAGTGACTTGTTTTTCGGCCAAAAACTGTTGGATAGACGACATTGCTGTGTGTGGGCGCGCATTGTCAAGCAGGAGGAACCACTTTCCATCATCAAAATCAACGGGGAAGAGTGCTGCACGTGCCGCGACAGGAATAAACGTGTCAGAACTTGCATGAAAGTTGGGAATTGAGTCTACTTCACGCATACATAAGAGAAATTACATGCATAGCTCTCGATTTTTTAAAAAATCAGTCCTGGAACTTTTGCGACATACCTTGTATTTTGCTCTTGGTTATCCAAGTCCACACTGTCGACCCTATAATAGGGCTTCTCGCATGCTCCAGTTCGCATATTTATTTGAAGTCTTCGTTGAACAGTGAATTTATGATCACCCAAACATACATGTAAACACGCATACAATCGCGCACATACTTGTAAGCATGCTATTTTTACGCGTGCTGCTAACAATGTTATGACTTTCCACAATTGAGTAAACCATGCCGCTCTGTAGTCCCGTGTTTCATTTCAGGGAGTAAAGAAAGAGTTCCAAACTTCTCATGGGTAAAACAGCAGTCATTTTCGCTATTGGAGAAACAGGGGGTTAGAGCCCTGCAAGGGCTGTGGCGCGGCCCGATCGCCCCGACCCGAACCGATCCGCAGGCCGTCTAGGTCCGAATTTTTAAAGATCCTTCGGGTCGGGTCGGGTTGGGCCAAATTTTCGTTCTTAGATAAATCCTCCGACACGAATCCTGATATTATTGCCGGGTTGATCATGGGGGGTCCAGGCAGAAGGCTATAAAGGAAAAGAAAGCGAAGCTCTAGGCTAGATTTTTGATGCTGTTCGACCGGTATCGTCAGGTGCTACGGCGATGGAATTAAACAGTCTAACTGTTTGGTTAATTCCATAGCCGTAGCACCTGGCAGTAGAAACTTTCTGGGCAGGGTTTGTTCGGTCAGACTTGCGGCCTCAACGGATGACGCAGGCTGCCTGACAATTTTCTATGATGGGATCTTTCGCTATCCGTTCTTAAATTTTTAAATTGTTGAGTAGATACTATTTTAATGTGAAATGCAGCAAACAAGAATGTATGGAAATTAATTAGTTATCAAGCCTTAGCTTTCAAAGTTTTGAAAGAAGCTGTACTGTCATGACAAAAGGAAAGTTAACCCTTTGACTACTGAGGATTTAAATACCCACTCAATCTTTCCTTGCCAAGCACAACAGTAGAGGCTCATCAAGCCGAACACTCCATATGGCGTGAACGGCAGTGAAAGTGTTAATAGGTGTAAGGACAGTCTACATTGGCAGATTACATTAGCAGATTCTGTGAATGACAATAATTACCTGTGGACTTGGTTTAATGCTCAATGCATACCAAAAATGAACACTTTCAATGTAGCCAAGGATGCAGACAGTTCAATGCAGATAAAATGTTGCACACACCTTCAGTTATTGTATTATCTTGTAGCAGACACAGCATTGCACTTATATGCAGGGAAGGATCAAGACAAGGTAAAAATAAAAAGATGCATATGAAGAAATGGGGTACCTGGGTTTCTGATGGCTAATCTGTTGGGAAAGATAAGGGGGACAAAAATAATTCTTGATGCTTTTGTGAGCTGCATTGTCATATTTAAAAAATCATTGAGTGAATGGCACTGGAATCCATCAAACATCAACAGGCATAGAAAACTAAATAAGGAAGGGTATTCTTTCACAGTAGAGAGATGAAGTGATGAGAAGATAGCATAATGATGATGATGATTGCTGCATTTTACATACAATTTGTACTCATTTTTAATTACAGACTTCATTCATGAGCTGTAACTGATGGCAGGAATATTTTAGAACCTCCATACAGGGAGTCTGCCAGCACTTTGCTTAGGTTGAATGTCAACATAGGAGTTCATCCCTGCGCTTTGTAATGACCTTGTGGTTAGGAGAGTGTGATAATTGGCATCTCTAAAAACTACATTTTGACTGAAGTTGTTAGCAACTTCATGCCTAAAATGAATTGTTGGTGACCTGTTGTGCCACAGTAAAAATGCTAAGAACCCATCTATGATCAAACAAATCTCATCAAAGCATTATACTCTGAACATCAAGACAATCATAGCTACTTAAAAACTGATCCTCTCACACACTATAGCAAGAGTCACTTCTTCACCAAAAAGGAATCCAAAGTCCTAAGTTTTTTTGAATGTGAATTTTGCTGGGTAGGTGTCCTCTTCTTTGGGTTTTTAGGTGAAGGCTCTGTACTTTCAAGGCACCAATTCACATGAGTTGAGACCCCTGTCTCTCCTTGTCCCTCTAAGCTTTGATTACACACTGGACATGTTATGCCATCAATCATGCTCATCCCTGATTTCACCATGTCTGAGGACCCTTCTTGACTTTTCATCAATAGTTCCACCTGTGAAGACTTCTTCACCAAGCATGTTTCAATATGAGCCATCATCTGCCTTTCACTTCCACTCTGAAACTTCTTACAAACTGGGCAGCTGGTAATTGGCTGGGCTGGTTTCTCCTTCAGCCGGCTCAACATATCCTTCAATTTCACTTGTTTGCCTGGTGCCACCTCTGACTCATGGAGGAGAGAGCTCATTCGTACTCCCATCAGACGAAGAGTAACAGGTTGGTCCAGTTCTCCATGGAGAATCCTTTGAGCAACCATGAAGATCTCATCAACATCATTGGTATATGAAGCCATATTTCTCACCTTCGTCTTCACTGCAAAACCAGACGTTTTGATCTTGAGGGTCACTGCCTTTCCAACAAGTTGCTTCTCCTTCATTTCTTCACTCAGGTCCTCAGAGAGTTCCCTGCACTTCTGGATAAGAGTTGCCTTATCACTTGTGTCTTGGAACGTTTGCTCAACACTGATGCTCTTTCTCTCTCGCTCTGTCCATGTGCTCAATGATGTGCTCCCCATACCAAGAGAAACCTAAAAAGTATGACCACATTTCCATATATTGAGAGTCCATTAACCCTTTAGTGCATGATGTAGCAGATATGCTACATTAAAAAAAAATTGTTTAGAATGTGTAGGAAGCAAGCCCTAGTGGGAAGTCAGTTCATAGCATGTGTGCAACAGTCCAGTCTTTGTACCTAGTACCCCAGTGGTCACTAGGTGACCTACACTCCTGGTGGCAAGCAACATGTTAACACACAGCTTCATCGCCTGACAGACTGATGATGGCGCAATTATTTTCAACTTTACACTAATCCAGGGTCCAGGTTTGTCTGTATTTTTACATTTTCATTTGCATTAAGGTAAGTATGAATGCTGATTGATTACTGAATCTCTAGCCTTCATGCAAATTACCCACAGAAAGCTGAAAAGGTTGTTTCTAGCAGATGTGCAACAATGACATTTTCAGGCCTTATACTTAAGAATTTGAGGAGGGAATTTTCCCCCCCATTTTGCCTGTGCTCTAGGACCTAGCTAAAACCCACCAGATTGTTTTTGCCAAAAAAGGAAAAATTAGGCATTAAGGGGTAAAGTTACTTCACACTTTCAAAAGAGAGTTTCTTTCCAAGTATTTGACAAACAAAAATGAAACTTAGTAGTTAAGCAATGCATATTTGAATGTATTTTTCTTTAACACAAACGTCCAGTAATAATCATTACAATAGGAGTATTTTAAATCCTGCTTTTTCCAAAATGTAAGTGCAGGAGGATAACATTGATTGGCCTATGAAAATTCTGAAACAAGAGCATTAGGGTGTGTCCATGCCAAGTGGTCCTAGGATTTTAGCAGGAAATTTTCCTCAATATGCAAATATTACTTTCGCTACAGAAGTTCATCAGCTCTTTTCCTAGAATACATGAATGAAAGAGAATATTACATTTAAAAATGAAAGAATTTGTCATGGTTATGATATATTACTTGTACCATTCTCATGATACTCAAAAATGGAACGAAAATGCAAATTTGAAGAGACTGAATTGGACAACTGGAATTGATGCCAGCATGGGATTTCCATGTATACTGATAATTTCAAATCAGCTCAGGTGTGAAGAGTAGATGTCAATTGTTCACATTTAAATGATACGTCTAAAATAAATTAAATGATATGTACAGACTTATCATTCCAAAATACATTTTTAGAACATGTCACATCTGACACCATCACAAAATAGGCTTACTTTTTTTGCAGGAGTTGTAATCTTGGGGTGACTTACACTAGTTCCAGGCTTTCAATCAATCTATAGAATGAACATGAAACTAAATTATTAGGGTCTGCTGGCTGACAAATATGTGAACATTAAAGCAAGTGGATTTAACATGAGGGTTCACGAAATGTCATGTCTGACACTTTTCTTTGCACATAGGTTCACCTCTAACAAAAGAGAGAGTGCAAAACGTTGGATTATGGAATTTTCAGTCAATACCCAAAGCAAATTGTTATAGCCTTTATATGCTGATTTGTCATCCCCAATATGCATTTTGTATACAACATATTACTCCGGCTGTCATGTCCAACACCGTGGACAGACCCATTACTAATTGCCCACAGTGGTACATGAGATGTAGGAGCATAGACCCTGGTCCTGGAATGGTAACTGTCTCCATGTGGATCTTGACCATAACACAAATTACCTTTGTCAATAATGTAAAAAATGGATATGTAAATTGGAATACTTCTAGAAGAACTAGATTTAATCATTTCTTCAGTCTGAAGATTGATGATGAAATAATTTGTACTATTTGACTAGAGAGCTGTGACCCAGTGTCCCAGTGTAAGATGAATATTTCTCATTCCTCAATCTGCTAACCAAAAAAAAAGGAAAGCCTTGCCTTCCTAAAAAATTTTAAAATTGCATTTTGACCTTTTGTGAAATAATAAATGATAATGCAAGCTGCTGATAGTTTGCAGAGGGATGGAATACGATATGGTACATTAGGCACATCAAAGAGATTATTAGATGTTCCAAAGACAGCATTTTTCATTTATATGAATGAAGAACACAGGGACATTCAATAAGTATTGCCTCCTGATTCATTTTTCGCAAATGAGACAATATAAAGATGTCATCATCATCCATTTAAAGTACTGCTCTATCTCCATACAGAATTTAATAATTGAAATCCAGTAATGATTGCATTTCAAATAGTCTTCTCTGGGTGCAGTTTCAAGCACTGGAAAATTGTACCTTCCAGATTATTCTGAATTTTAGAGTGCTTTCCTATCAGCTCAGACTTGAGAGTTGTTAATGAGAAGTAGCTCGGGGTGAAATTGGATCAATAGGTGGGGGGGGGGGGGGGGGGGGGGCGGCCCCCCCCCCCCCCAATTTTCCATTTGAGCAATATCGATGAAACTGACAAATTCCAATGCAGATGTTGGGGGGGGGGGGGGCATCATCACACTCAGTCCATCACTGGTGATTGAAAAATCTTCCAACCTGTCACTTGGGCTATTGCCAGGCACATGTTTTAACCCTCCTCATGCAGACTTTGCTTGTCTCTCCCTGGTAGCCTTTTCAATTTTTCAGAATGTTATTGTAACCTAAAATCACCCTGCAACAAGTATCCCTTTTGGAGCTGGAATGTGAATTATTAGGCATTTTAGAGATGGGAAAAAATGCCATAAAGCGCCTAGCACATCATTTTCTGCCATCTAGGAGTGAATGGTTGTGAAGCACTTCCAGTCATGTAAGCTAGCTTCCTAAATAGTTCTCTGGCTTAAAAAACTAAATCCAGGTTCCATCAATAATAATAGCTTATGAATGAACTTAAGAATGCTTTGAATCTGTATTTTTATCTTGAGTGCTGTTCTCATTATAAATTTCTCTCCATCCCCATTTCTATGCAACTGTGAGCATGTGGGGCACTCATCTAACACAAATCTTCATTCAGGGGTTGGGGTGGTGAATGGTCTCAGCAGTCCCTGTCAAGATGACTACACCATTAGCTACCTCACACACACCAACAAATGAATCCTCTTCAACCGTGCTCTCTTCTCGAGGCCGTAGTTTCCTGGAATTGCACAGTGGGGTAATGCCTTGGCATATCGTTACTTTCCATGCTCCTCATTCCTTTTCTGGAGCAAGCAGTCCACTGGCAGCTAGTAGTTATCTCTGGGACAGAGTCGTAACACAAGTTCAAGAAGTTCATGAACAGACTTCAGAATACATACAGGGTGACTCAAAAGTCCTTGGACACCTTTAATCAAGTGTAGCATTCTCTAATGAAGACCAATTTAATTTCTGATTTGACCAGTGCAAAGACCACAAAAAACTAAACCAACCATGTTTTTATGTTTCAAAAATATCACCATTCGAGGCAATAACCTGCTTCAGACATTTTGGGAAATCATTTACGGTTCTTCACAACTGATCAATCGACAATTCATTCCATTCCTTCAGCAGATCAAGCTTCAAATTATTGATACTCTTGTGTGGCTTGCAGCAGACCTTGGCCTGCAAGTAGGACCACACACTGTAATCCAATGGATTCAAATCAGGACTACTAGCAGGCCATTCTTCTGGGGAAATCAAGTCTGGAAAGTGAGTTCTGCAGAAGTCGATGGTGGATTTTGCCTTGTGAGCTGGTGCTGAGTCCTGCTGGAATGTCCAAGGCTGGGATTTGAAATGTTCCTGAGTCCAGGGGAGTAGCACCTTCTTCAACGCACTCTTGTTAGTAGCTGGCATTGATCTTTGCCTGAGACTGCACAAAATGCAGGGGAGTTTTGCCAGAAGCACAAACACCACCCCACACCATCACACTGCCTGGTTTTTGAACTCGATGGACATATTGCTGGTGAGACTTAAAAGAGGAAAGCTTTTTACCCCAGAGGCGATTGTTTTGGGGGTTGTAAGCTTGCTCTACAGTGAAAATTTGTCTATCAGAAAAAAACAATCCTTTGGAGTGAGGACTGGTTAAACTGTTTGAGCAACTGGCAGGACCTTTGAACTTGTTTCTTCTTGTTGATCTCTGTAAGCAGCTGCACCTTTTGTTTTTTAAAAGGCTTCATGCAGAGCTTTCCTCTGATGTATTTTTGCAAGATCCCTTTGTCCACTCTCAAGGTTTGCACAAGCTTTCTTCTAGAATGCTCTGGATTTCGGTATAGCATTTGCCTGACTCGTTTTTGGAGCTTCTTATCCTGGAACACGGAAGGACGTCCACTTCTTTGGCGATCTGCTGCTGATCCAAGCTCATTGTATTGCCGAATAATGCTGTTATAATAATGCTGTAGATCGAGGGGTTTTGGTGAGCTTTCAGATCCTGCTTGCTGGAAGACCACTCTGGTTTTGAAAAATCACTGCTTCTCTTTGATGTTTGGGAACCATATCAAGAGCTCTCAACCTGAAACTTGGAAGGCAAATAGATCTGTAGTAGATGTTGCTTCACTCAAAAAATCACCTGGCTATCACTTGTCCAATGGTTTTTTCAATAGGTGTCCAAGGACTTTTGAGTCACCCTGTACAAGGAGAGTGCAAAATATAATGTCTGTTCATATCATCATGTCACATGCACCAGTTACTCTGTAGTAACCAGAGCTCAGGTTATAACTAAGTTCAAATAAAAGAAGGGTGACTTTTTTTTTAAATGCCCCACTTTTTTCTATGGCAGAATTAACAGCTTCATAAATGCCAAGCAAAATTTATGTTGGCTATGTGATCAACATTGGAAAGTTACAAGGTGTTGAGATGCACGTCAGTTCTTTTAAGCACCCCTGCCTAAGTTGTGCAATACACTGTTTACATTACACATTACACTGTTTAGAGATAGATCATTCCACCTTAAGTGAGGTTAGGATGTGTGCTCAACCACTCAAAATTCAATTATATTTGGCAAGTGGTTGAATTATTTTGAGAATAATCAACAGACAAAAAATGTAGGTCTGTACTTCAAGTAGAGGCAGAGAAAAGTGAGTTTTAATTTGGTGATAGTGGTGCAACATGGCCCCCAACCCCCAGATGCTAACTTCTTGACTACATGGTTATTATGTCACAAGCCTATTTGATAGGCCATAACTTTTCAAGGGACAGTTAGATGCAGCTGCTACTTGACAGAGAGGTTCATGAGTCTCATAAGTTTTTTTTCACATACACAGAAATGGCACAACATGGCAATAGAGGACAGTTTTGTTGACCAGCAGGCCCCCTATCTCCGTGCTGTTCCACTTTTTAGGCAGGAAAAAAAAAAACCTTACAGACCTATGAGCCTCTCTGCCAAATATCAATTGCATCTGAGAGCCCTTCAAATAATATGGTCTTGAAGCCAATTTTAAATATATGAATTTAGTCAAAATCGGTTCAAGACCAAAACTAAACAAACTACTTTAATTGAATTTTGAGATGAAAGAACATTGACCATTATTACACTTGAGGTGTAACGATACATTTGTAACTTTGTAATGGGACAATGCATGGCTCAGAGAATTTATGTGAAAAAACCAATCAATCTCAACACTTTGTATTTGTCCAATTTCAAGAGTTTATGAATTTTATAATTTTTGCTTGAATATACTATTCTTACTCTCTCCCATAGAAAATGGTGGTGTGTTTTTTAAATCACACTATATGTTCTTTCCCTACAGAGAAAGTAGGAAATCATATAAAATGAAAGCTCACATTCCATTCTTCATGAACAATCACCTCATTTTCCTGTAGTCAATAAATACAGGAAGCAACAAGAGGGACAATATTTTTTGAATGCCCCTGTAGATCTCCAATCTAAAAGAATACTCTCTGCATTTGAAGTTTCTCTATTTCAGTGTGAATCAACATGAGCATAAAGTACATAAACCAATTCAAATCATTTTGAAGGAAGGCCATGAATAGTACTCTATTTGAGGAAATGCAAGCAACAATGGAATAATACTACACTCAAAATTAGAAAGAGTTTGACTCCAGACACAGATGTTAGGTTCTAAGCCTGCCCATTCGACTCAACTAAACAGCCTCTCATTTTAACTCTATGCATTTCCTCTGCACTCTCTTGACCACAACTTCTTGGACATGTTTCACTCTATCAGCTATGCAAGTGAAAAAAATAAATGAAAATGAGGGTCACACAGTGTAGCCTTACACTGTGGCCACTGATGGCACTCAAGGGAGCCAAGAGGCTCCCCTCTAATCATCTCCTCTAATTTCACAATGTCATGCCAGGACCTGCTTGAGTTTCAATGTTTTACTCAACTTCCTTCAAGATGTAACAGAAAAAGATTGAGAGCAAAAACAAACCTGCATGAAATGATGACAGCTGAGCTCAGAGAAAAGTAGATTGATGAGCCCTCGATTTTCACAAACGTCCCTACACTTGGTCACTCCCAAAGATGCCAGAAGTTGTCCAGTGACATTTCCTATTCCTGGAATCTTTCTAAGTGGGAGGTCATCAATAAAGTGCCGAACAGCCTCTACAGTTGGGGGGAGGTAAAACTGACCATTGGGCTTGTTGTAGTCTGAGCACACCTTTGCTAGCATGGCATTGGGTGCTATGCCTATAATGAAGCAGAGGAAAATTCATTCATCAGATTCTCAGTTGAATTAAATTCATGATGAGTTTGTGTATGATGATTAGATCGTGTACCAGCACTTGCAGTGAGTCCTGTCTTCTCAAGAATCTTGCTTCGGATCTCTTCAACAATGGTCTCTGCAGCACTCTTCCCAGGTTCCTTGGTTATTTCTGATTGCCTGACTTTCAAGTACTCTGTAATATCTAAATATGCCTCATCCAAAGACATGGGGCTGAAGTTTGGGTCATATTTCACTAATACTTCACGGATTTGCTGGCTCTCAGCTCTGTATTTCTGAAAATTACAGGGGACGATGATGAGCCCTGGGCACAGCTTCTTGGCAATGAAGCCTGGCATTGCAGCTCGTACTCCATAACGTCGGGCCAGATAGTTAGAGGTGCTCAACATGGAATTTCCACCGACAGCCATTGGTTTCTCACTAAAGAATACCAGGAAATTCTCAGAATTCAAAAATTCATGACAACATTATCAAACTGAGAATACCTTTACAGTACCAAAGTGAAGGGTCATCTCTCATTTCGACAGCTGCATAAAATGCATCCATGTCCACATGCACAATTGTATGACTAAGGTCTTGCTCCTGCTCAAGCTGCTTCAGATATTCATCCATCTTTAAAAATAATGAGACAATATTTTTTATTTTCTGCATCTAATAACAATATTGTGAGGCATGCATATCAGAACTGACTACCCCCTACAAGGTAATAACTTGGTCTTGGAACAATTATACAGAGTATAGGGCAATGAAGGCCCTTTCAGTACTGAATTAAATCTTTGCATTCTCCTTCCCAGTCAATGGTTTTTGCTTGTCATTGTGTGTGGCATGCATGAAAGTAAAAATTAGCCTTTAATACTTGTAATAACTGGAATAATGAACTCCTGTAAGTTTCACTTACCTCAACAATGTTTCAGCACCTGGTATTCTTGGAAAAGTAAGCATGGTCTGGTTCAGTATATCCTGAACATTACAAATGTTATGCTTGTAGCACTGAAAGGGTAAACCAATGCATCTCCACTTCTACAGAAGCTATTTTCACAATACCTTCTCTGTTCTTAGATGGATGTTTCCAACTTATATTCTAAATTTATTTAAAATTTATTTCTTCAAGGTAGAACTGAGATATGATTAAAAAAGTTTGAATAAAAAATGTAAAGAACTCCTACTGATGGTTGGGTGGAGGAGAAGCTCAAGTGCTCTGCTTGTATATCATCCATTCCACATCCATCCCCTCTTCCACTGAAATTCATTTTTTCGACTGACCTTTCCTTGCAGAGAGTTTTGATAAACTGTATTACAATTGATGACAGATGAATCTATAAGTGCAAAACAGAGTCCATTCATAGCATATTCAGATTTTCCCTTGTTCTTTGTCAGAGACCATGGCAGGAAGATTTCCAACATGGGACTAGGCACTAAGAAAGGTTTGAAGTCTCCTGCTCATTTTCAATTTCCAATTTTTTTTTATATTATTGCTCATTACTGAATAAAAAATGGCAGAATGAATTTGGATGAAATTTCAAAAGCTTGTTTATAACATATCAATATATGCATAGTGGAAGTTTGTGGAAGGAGCTCCATTGAAGGTTGAGATAAGTTAAAGACAAGTTACAAGTCAAAAGAGAAGATAAGTCATTGGTCCTCTTTTTTCCATATCCTATATCTCCCAAATGAATACAAAAAGACAACAATATATTCTTGGGGTCACGTCTGGAGACATGGTAGGTCTCTCAGTTGCTTCTCTCCTTCTTCCTCACCTTTGAGAGAAGTGTTCATCTACCCAGGTTTTTCATATCTGATTTTTTTATTGAGTTACTAACATTTCCAATTAATCTCTAGGGTTGTACTGCTTACTTCATATTTCTCTTTATATTCATGAGTGAAATATATATGAAAGTCAAGTGTTATCTACACCTGCTCATGATCCATACATCATTTATATGTACCTGGACAGGTTTAAATTCCAATGACAGATGACATGCATGTATGTATGTATAATCTGTAGTTCAACATTGGATGGAAGCTCTTAGATATCTCCTTGTCAAATACAGGGTGGTCCACAATTGTCTTCCCAAAAGTAAAAGCTTATTACTCAGGAAGTATACCTCCGATTTCAATTATTGGGTTGGAAAGAAAGTCTTGCAACACTCTGCGCAAATTTTTCAAAATTTTATAACTTTATTGAAATGCAATTTCAGTCTACAATGTAATGGCCATTGTTGTCTATGACATGTTCCCAACGCACGGGTAACTGCTCGAAGCCCTTTGCCCAGAACTCTGGCGATTGCGAAGCGAAGAAACGGCCGACATCATTTTCGAGCTGTGCTTGATCGTCGAAGGCCTTGTCCCGCAGGTGATTCTTGAGGGCCCGGAACGAGTGATAGTCGGAAGGGGCCAAGTCCGGAGAATACGCTGGATGGGGTAAAACTTCCCAGCCCAGTTCCGAAATCGTCTGGCGAGTCATCTTCGCAACATGTGGACGAGCGTTGTCATGCAGAAGGAGAACTTTGTCGCGTTTGGGACGCTCTTTTTTAATGACGCCAGCCAACTTCTGAAGTTGAGCAGCGTAGACGACGGCAGTCACGGTGGTACCGGTTGGCAGGAGCTCATAGTACAACATTCCTTCTGAATCCCACCAACAGCAGAGAAGAACCTTCTTCTCGTGGAACCCTGGTTTCGGTTCGTGTGGCGGCAATTCTCCTCGTGGAAGCCACTGACTCTTGCGAGTATGGTTGACGTAGAGGACCCAGCTCTCATCTCCAGTAACGATTTCCTTCAGAAGGTCCTTTCTGTGCGGACGAAGGAGCAGTGATTCGCAGACACTGACACGGCTTGCTTTGTCAGAGTCGCCGAGCTGATGAGGGACCCATATCGAGTAAACCTTCCGATAGCCGAGGTCGTTCAGATGGTTGCCGATGGCCATATGGGTGACTCCAAGTGTAGTCGCCAATTCGCGAGTGGTGGCGTTCGGCTTCGCGTTGAGGGCGTTCCGCAGGGCTTCGTCATTGACTGTAGATGGACGTCCTGAGCGTGGTCGATCTCCGAAGGTCGTGTCGCCAGATTCGAAGCGTTTGAACCATCGAGACACCGTGGAATAGTGGACGACGTTGCCCTTGAATGCAGCGCAGATGTTGTCCGCGGCGGCTCTCGCAGAGTGTCCTTGGAGGAACTCGTAGTAGACGATGGGGCGGCGAAGAGTTGCTTGTTCGATCGGAGCCATGGCTGCCAACTAATGGCAGAAGCCGCCTTATATACCCCGAGGGCAGAAGCCTCGAGAACATTCCAGCATATACTAATGCAAAGCCCCGCCCATCATTCCTTTGAAAACTTTTATAAATAGTTTTAGAAAGTGTTGCAAGACTTTCTTTCCAACCCAATATATATGACTTAAATGATGGCTAGTTCATTAGATTTTTATTGTGGAAAATGTCAGCATTCTATATGAAACTAGAACAAAGTTACACCATGATAAATGAAAGTACCCATATCATGCAACTAAAGCCTGTAAATATCACAATTTCATCTGAAGTTCGCAATTCATTCATGAGTTTTTCATCCATTGCGAGGGATTGTCTGTGTCATGGGCAACCTAAGCATCCTGCAGAAGATGAATATTTTTATTTGGTTTGATAATTTGAAGAGAGCAAATTTGTGCAGGGAAAAATTGGAAATTTCTTCAGTTTGGGTCTGAATGTCTCAGTTCCTGATGAAAAGATCATGAAGGCAATTCATGAGAGGTTTCTGAACCTGAAGAGATTCATCGCGGACCTATGACTACCTATATATGCTGAAACAGGTTATTAGAGATGCCATCACCACAGTAGGATCAGATATGATTGAAAGATATCTGTTGGCATTCGAAGAAAGACTTGATGCAAGCTAAAATTTGTTCTGCATCTTTTTCTTGGGGTATATGATATAGATGAGTGCTCATCAGAAATACTTTCACTTTCACTGACACTTTCTTTATAATTAGATAATTTTTTATAATTTCACAACAATTTTCACTTATGAGAAAGCTCCTCCAAATTGCTATTTTGAAGCAGTAAATGTATGCCTTTGAACTCTGAAGTAAAACTAACAACCTTACAATCAACAGTAATGACAACCATGATATGAACAAGAAATTACAGTATGGTGTGCTCTTTCAAGTCTAAGAACTACAGGTTGCCATAGTAACCATCCTGAGAGCACAAGGAGCTACTGCCTGACCTACAAATAATTCATTCTGCAAACCAGAATGCTCTAGCTTTCATGCTTTGTTGACAATTAATTATTAACAAAGAAATGCTATAATAATGACACAATGTCAAATGATGCCCAAGGGTCATCATCCTTAAATTACTACTGGGATATTCTGTATTCATAACTCAAGGCATGTTTATCAGATATACCAACCACTCTTACCTACCTGCTTTGTAGACCTTTCAAGCTGCTCAGGCAGAATCCTTCTCTTCCTTTCTTGTAATTCTTGAATTTTCATATTGATACGTTCCTGACACTTCTTTTTGTGCTCATAAAACTTAGATCCCCGGGATGCTTCCTCTAGGATTTGGTTGATTCGATCTCTGTCAAGGCCAACCATCCCTGCTTTGTTGTCATTTAGTTTCATGATTTCCAGGCCTCCTATGCTAAATTCAGACTCTTCCTCCATATCACCAGTCCTCTCCTCTTCCATGTTATCCACTGTCTCTAATTCTTCCATCATTTGATCTATTTTCTTCCTTGCTGAAAATTATCCAACTATTGCTGTAGAGTCCCAAGTCCTTCACTAAAATCATGGAACAAGACTTCATGACATGCCAGTAATTTCTCAAAACAAAAACAAGGCATGCAATCCCATATATTGCCAAAAAGAAATCAGTGCTTCAACTTTTATAATCTTTGCTACTATGAAGGTACATAATATCTAAGTCATGTCCTTGATGAATGCTAACTGAACTGAAAGCTTGGAACTCCTGCCTTTCTATTTCTTTTTCATTTACTCTTTCTTGGACCAATTCTTTCTCCAATATTTTTTAAGTATGTCAATCCATCCTAATGTGCAATGCTATAAATAAATATGTACTAGAACAAAATTTTTCAAATGAACTTTGGGCTGACATGCCAAACTAAGAATCTTGTAGTACAGGGAATACATGAATCTAACCAAGACAATAATCAAGCATTTTTAAATGATGTCCAGCTGAAAATGCATTTTTAAGGAAGGACTTCATATTCTATTATAATTTCCTTATCTTGATGCTTAACATCCTTCCAGACATGGAATTATCGGCAAATACGCATCTTCTGCATATGGCAAGATTATTCTGCAAAAATTGATTCAACTTTTTTTTCGGATTGGGGAAGCCTACGATTAGAGCAGAGTGAACACAGCACAATGGACAAACAATTGCAGTAAACAAAGGATAGAGGTGCATGCTTGACTGAAGCACCATACCTGCAGTAAGGTTCTCCAGGTAGGGACAACCTTCTAGAGTCCTGTAGATCTTTCTTTAGGAGACGCTGTACCCTTTGGTTTTGACCTTTTACTTTAACCGGTACCTTTTAGTTAAAAAAACAAAAAAAAAACACTTCGATTTCGAAACGCTTGTTGTCATACCAGTAGCGTGTCCAGAAAATCCGAAGGGGGGGTTAACATATGAAAAATTGGTAACCCACCCCGCATAATTGGCCAAATTAAAATTTTTTTTTGAGAATCGAAGCTGTAAAATGTATCCCAAGCAGTGGCGCAGCCAGGTTTTTGTCAATGGGGGGCTAAGCGGAACGTTGGGGGGCTTACTTCTCCTCGTCGGGGTGGGAGGGAGCCGGACGCATTCCGACGCATTCAGACCAGATTTGAACCAAACTTGGGGAGGCTGAAGCCCCCCCAGCCCCCCCCCCCCCTCGCTACGCCACTGATCCTAAGGGTATGACCCCCAACCCCCCCCCTTGGGCACGCCACTGTGACACACACAAGCCCTATATCAATGGCATGTTCTCTTTGATCTGCTTCTAATGATGGTTCCTGAAGTCAGTACCTCGAAAGCGGCAAGATCGATCGCATAACCCCAACGTCATGGGACAGATTTTCAATACAGTAACGAACATGTGAGTGGCTCTTTCTAAATTGGGCGCGTTTTATGGTTGGCGTGCTCAGAATTTGCTATGGAGCTCTCTGACGTATAAAGGGTCTACTTGCACCTGAAAATAGATGAGGGCCTGTCCCAAGGACACGAAAAAGAAGCAATGTTCAAAGAAAGGGTAACAACTAGGGCTGTACTGGTAGCCACATTTGGCCGATGGTCGATTATCATTTCATACCTATCTGCCGGTGCCGATGCCTATTATGACATCTAAAGAAAGAACGAAGATCCATTATATCAAATATTTATTCAAATGTACCTATTAGCAAGCCATGATAATTTTTTTTTTTTTTTTGGGGGGGGGGGGGTCACGCTGGGTGTTTCCAAAACATCGAAGTATCGACCTGAAATATCAATAGTGCATTGATGCACCCGAGGGTGGGGGAGAGGGGTGCCGACGGATTCAGTCTTTTCTCACTACGATTGGGCGGATGTTAATAAAGCCTACTATGCTTCCAACTATCGAAAATGACATCCATACGAGGGATTTCTCAAAAGTTCTGCCAGTAGCCCACAAGTCGTCATCGGAGACGGCCGCAAAGTGCTACATTGGGGTTACTGGCAGAACTTTTGAGAAATCCCTCGTACATCAATGGAAGCATCGGGACAGCCTTAATTTTTTCCTATTGCCGTTGAGAATCAATAGCCAAGTCCCGTTCACTAATTTTTTTTGTATTTTTCTTCGTTCTTGCACGTTATTCTTCGGACATCGGCACCGGCAACTTGCAAACCGGTTGATGGTCAATAGTTGCCAATACATCGGTACAACCCTAGTACTAAAAAGAGAACAAACCTTCTCAGCCACAGTTGGCTGATTTGTTTCGACCTATTAAGGGGGTGACCTTCACTTATGATTGGTTCAGATGCCCCCCCTATTACCTCCCGGTCAAAATAAGAGAAAGAGGGATAATTATTGGACTGATTTCTGTCGATGTCTTCGGGTAGCTCTCCAAGATATCCGCCAACGATGTTTTTTTTTTCTCGCTCATATGGCCTTATTCGGGTGGTTATCTGACTCCAGCCGATATACCAATCCTTCGAATGCACAAGTATCACTACAAAAACTATGGTACAGTAATTTTCGATTGATTCTTCCTTCCCCCTTCTGAATAGCGCCAAACAGCATCCAACAGAGGGACATTGGCTGTCTCAATGTAACTGTCCCTGGCAAAATCAGTGATAAAAATGGCAATTAAGTAGGGCTTTCAATCGATTAAAAAATTTAATCGATGAATCGCGAGCCATTTAATCGATTAATCGAATTTTAATCGATTCGATGGCTCCTTGAATCATATCCTAGGCGTTAGGAATGATTCTGCTTGCGTCATGCCCAACACTCAGGCGACACTCAGGAAGTGACTCAAGGCGGTACAGTCGCTAACATAGCAGTTACCATTCATACATACACTAGTTCCTACAAGTGACACATTCCAGTCGGAAAGAAAATAGTTACAACTTAGCCGGATAAATAATAATAAGTAAGCAAAGAAGCGCATTGAGGCCCTTCGCCATTTAGCCATTTAGCCAACCCATAGCGGAAGGATGCAAAAATGTAATCTAAATTATTTTTACGTATACAGTGACACTTCATTACGCGGAGATTTAAAGATTCATTAACGAATTACGGGTAACACGGGATTGAGGAGCAAGAATAGGAGCAAATAAGGAATAGGAGAGGGTTTCACACTCGTTTCCACTTCTCTCACATGCTTTCCCCCCTTCTCCGTTGCTTTCCGGGAGCTCCCACAGACGTTCGCCGGTGCACTTACACGTACTCCCCCGTCTTTACATTATCCTCTGGGGCCGTTCACAAATTACGTACGCCAAGGGGGAGGAGGGTTATCAGACAAAGTGTTATGATTCTTTACGGGGGGAAAGTGAGTTGCACGAATGTGACGTAACTGGTTTTTTCATAAATAAATTATCGACTGGAATTTCTTACTAAAAGGATAATTGTTTAGTAACAAATCACTCACACGACACAGAGCCAACCCTACTACCCACCCGCACCCACCACACCTCGCTAACAGTGGAGTGGGCATTGGAAGCGTGGGAACGTCTGTTGACTTCCCTCTCCCCTGTTGCAAAACTCGCACAGTCGGTTTCATGCCTGGACCGGCTCAGACAAGCCAAACAAGCTGTTACCCTTTGGACGTTGCCCTCGTACGTCTCTCTCGGCATCGCAATCTCTATTTCCACCATTCTACCCCACATTTCCCCGTCTCCTTTTGCTCTTTTTTTAAAATCACAAATGGGTGATCACCATTAATCAAAATGAACATAGACAAAGGAAAATTATTTCCTTGAAGAAGGAACCAAATGAAAGTAAAAACTTTTCCTTTCCTTTTTAAAAACATTTTAATCTCTTAATGTGTGTAATCCAGAGTGTTAGTTATGAGTGCTTAATAAGCGAGTTTCTTTATTAAATGCATTTTACTTGTTTATTTATCTTATTTACAATTTAAAAAAAAAATATGGAGGGGGGGTCATACTTTGTCACGTAATTATTATTTTTTTTTTGGGGGGGGGGGGAGTCGGAGCTTTAGTTACGGAGTGTTACAAGAGGGGGGGGGGGGGTCAAAAAAGGTAAAAAAATCACGTTACGTAATTTTTGAACGGTCCCATTCCTTCTTCTCCAGTCCCATGCCCCTGTCCAACTCCCCTCTTCCTTCTGTGATATCCACTGCAGCGTCTTCATTGCGACTTTATTTTCCTCAATCGCATCCAGTGACTTTTCGGTCGCTCTGTCCTATACTGCTGTTACCTTAGCCTGACGTGCGAGGCCTGCAAGGCTATGCCTTTAAAGGCCGTAGGCTAGGCAGAAGGATACGGGATGCGTACCAGTACCATAAAGTTGAAAGTGTAACTAGAGGCGACACTCCGAGGGGTAGGGGAGGGTCGAAATATTACAGAGACATCTGGTGGCTTGTTATCAACACTTCCATACGGCGTGCTTCGTGGCAGCGGAATTGGGAAACGACTCATTCGGGGATTCGACACAAATGGATCACTCAACGTAACACGCGTGTCTCGTTGAGTTTGATGCTCGGCCATGGAAGAGTTGTTGATGTGTGCCCGCTAGGTGGAGGATCGACAGCGACATCTATATTGCGACCCTGTCAATGAATGGGACTCGAGCGGAGTGTCGCCTCTTGTTACACTCTCTACTCTATGCCAGTACGCTTGTGGATGCGAAGGAATCAGGAACCTTTTTTTTTTTTAAATAGATAGTCTGAAAGCGATGGCTTCGTTTTCGTGTTCTCTTTTTCCAAAAATAGTATGTCATTTTGAGGATGAGTGAGCAGTGCGAAAACGACCAACTTCTATAAGCCATCATTACATTTAGTTCCCTTGATAACGCATTCGTTTTCGGTTATTTTTCAAAAACTATGAACAACACTAAAATTATGAGGGAAAAGAGGCATTCAGGGAGAGATTAGGGGGTCAGTTAAAATTCGATTAATACTTTAATCGATTAATCGGTCGATTTATCTAATCGAATTGACAGCCCTACAATTAAGTCATGTTCACTTCTGCCGCAGCATGGAGGTGCAATTAATCGAAAACCATAATATAATTCGTATCTTTTCTCTTTCGACTTTACCATGGGCTCAAAAGCAAAATTTGGCTGGAAAATGGCTTATCCATTCTGTTACCATTCCCAGTGAAGTTTCAAAGGCCTTCAAAGAAGCCTCAAAAAGTACATCGGAGAAACCTTGGTTCCAACCCAAAAGTAACGACCGACTAACTGAACAAGTGTAAAAATGCCAAGATTGAGCCAACAAAAGCCATCAGTAATGAAAGCCGTTGCTGAACTTGACAGGCCCAACGTCTTCGACACACATGCTGAGAGGCAAGGAAAAGCATTCAACAACCAGGCGACAATTTAAGAAAACAAATCTTCGACGTCCCTCTCTCTCGCTTTCCCATATAATTAATAAATAATAGGGGGGGGGGGAGGCTTCAGCCATCCCCCCTCCCCCCGGGCGAGAAGTAAGCTCCTCCATTGGCGAAATCCTGGTTACGCCACTGAGAGAGATGGGTTCAGGCGAAATTGAAGAAGTGTTAAGAAAACACTTATGCGAAATTCGGAGGTCGGCCAGAAACGCTGTCTCAAAAGATATCGTGAATGAAATGCCTTCGCTTGCTTGAAGAAAACCTACTTAAACCCTCGACAGAACAAGAGCTCTGAGGCAGAATGGGGGACGGCATACAAATTATTGATTATTGGAATGATTCCTTCTTGAAAGGAGTATTGATATGATGAAATTACTTTGTTAATTAATTTGTTTTCCGTTATGTCCAATTCTTTGTAAGGGAGGGGGGGGGGGGGGGGAGAGAGAAAATGATTTCTTGACGCCCCGTACTTATTCCGGGCGTGACAAGTGATTTCGTCTCCTAACAAGCCTCAGCAGTAAATGA